GGAAAAGTTATTTACTTGTTCCCATAATATAAGAACTAGGGGCCATCAAATGAAATTAATGGGCAGCAGGTTTAAAACAAATAAAAGGAAGTTCTTCATACAGCACACAGTCAACCCGTGGAACTCCTTGCCTGAGGAGATTGTGAAGGCTAGGACTATAGCAGGATTTAAAAGAGAACTAGATACATTCATGGAGGTTAAGTCCATTAATGGCTATTAGCCAGGATGGGTAAGGAATGGTGTCCCTAGTGTCTGTTTGTCAGAGGGTGGAGATGGATGGCAGGAGAGAGATCACTGTTAGGTTCACTCCCTCTGGGGCACCTGCCATTGGCCACTGTCGGTAGACAGGATATTGGGCTGGATGGACCTTTGGTCTGACCCAGTATGGCTGTTCTTATGCCCTTATGTTCTAGGAAAACAATTTTTTTGCCTCATGCTTCTTTACATTTTGAATGAATGTTTTTTAGAAATGTTTAGTGACAGAAGACTGCATGGAATTTGCAAGATACATAGGGGTTCTAGCAAGATCTTGCTCTTTTCCACACTTCTCCATCTCTCCCAGGCCACTCTTCCTCCCACTGGACACCAAACCAGCCCCTTGGCTCCCTCACTTCCATACTGCCTCTTCCCTACTTTAATTCCCTGCCAGCCACTCCCAGGCAGAGTTTATAAAGTTCACCACAGGAAAATGCATAGTTTATAAAAGTCTACATTGGGCATCAGCGATATACAGACTTTATATCATCCACAATGGGCCATATATACATTACAAAGTGTGCATTGTAGCTGGAAGCTTATGAAACATGTAGGCAGGCAGGCAACATATGCAGTGATGATGTTCTCAGGGAAGCATACATTAGTCAGGTGTATGTTACCAAAAAGTGTGCACAAACTGGATTGGGGTGTGCAAAACACTGCAATACCCTAACTACTCTGAAACTACCTTTAATAATTTAATAATTTCTCCTCCCTAATACCTACACATTAATTAATGGCATCAGAACTCAAAGACAATTAAACCAAATGTGAAGTTTCTGTGCCAAACTGTGTGTTGAGGTAAGCTGTTTAAAAAAATAAATAAAAAAAATGTCAAAAAACAGAGAGATAAATTGCCTCACTTTTTAGAACACCCTCTTTACACTTATGGCTCCAAGCTGTCCTGTTAAATTGGAACCCACTGATGTCGTCAACTTTCATGATTTTACCTCATAATTCTGTCGACATCTGATATATGTCAAACTCCAGCTCCCAGCACTAAATGATTATATGAGAATCTCAGCTTGCATTTTAAAAAGTTTCTAGCCTTCATGCTTGCAAAGCAAAGCTACAAAACATAACCCATAAAGGTGCAAAAAACAGAAGACAAATAAAAAGAACGTAAATTTTATTGTTT